TATATATATATATATATATATATATATATATATATATATGTATATATATGTATATATGGCCTGAGGCCGCAGGTTGTTCATCATTCAGAAGAGGGAGTATTCGTTAGGGGTGTGCATTCGATTTATCGATTCGATTTTGACCCTTATCGATAATTACTTATCGATTATCGATTTGTACATATGCTTATCGTTATCGTTTCAATAAGGTTTTAATTTTTTCGATTTCGATTTATCGATTTTTGGGGCTTATCGATTCGGTTATCGATTACACCAATAAGAAAATTTGCGGGATTCCACGGAAAGTATATCGCTATAAACACGCCTAACTAATATGGACCAAAAGAAGCTAAAATAAGACGAACACCGTTTATAACATAAAAATTGTGTCAACAAGCACATGCAACGAAACTAAAGTAAGGGATCAAATGTATGCCACCAACACTCCAACGGTATAAAAAAAATACATCATTACGGCTAATTCTATTTTCCATTAATTTGAACTTCATTTCCCTTGAGCTTTAAGTATGATCATTCCTTAAATGTGGTAGATGAAATAATAGGGTTAGGGACTTAGGGTAAAGGAAAGGGTATTATAGAATAAAGGTAAAAAAAATATTAAAAAAATTTAAAAAAATTAATTTTTTTAGTATTTCTTATCGGTTTATCGATAAACCGATAAACCGAAGAGGACAAAATCGAAATCGAAATCGATAACTCGATAAGGAAAATTTCGAAATCGAAATCGAAATCGATAAATCGATAAACCGATATCGATAAACCGATAACAAATAATCGATTCGATTTATCGATAAACCGATTCGAATGCACACCCATAGTATTCGTATCCTTACTTCCTTCGTTCAGTTCAGTTATCAGTTATCATTTTAGTTATCAATTATCAGTTATCGGTTCAGTTATCATTTCAGTTTTCAGTTATCATTTCAGTTATCAGTTATCAGTTATTATTTTAGTTATCAGTTATCCGCTATCAGTTATCGTTTCAGTTTCTGTTTCAACAGTTATCATTTCAGTATCAATTATCAATTCTCAGTTATCAACTCAGTTTCAGTTTCAGCATTTACAATTCTTTCTTTTAGTTGCTTTACATACCAGTGCAATTCAAATGTACTGAAGTCCCTTTTTGCCCGGGGCCTGCATCTTACGATGCAGGTAATGATTTACAGGTTGATAATTTAGAGCGCTAGGATTCTCGTACCAGCTGTTTGGTGATCCCCAGTTCTTTCGGGGCATTATCATTACTTTACGGTCTTTCAGTATTTACAGGCGGTCAGTGTTTTCAGTGCTTCATTAGAGGCTTCATAGACTAGAGTAACAGTTAGACAGAGTCACAAGCTTTTCATGCTAAGCAATGTTGGCTACAAAGATGTTTCAGAATTATATTAGTATTTCCGCACTTTGATTTATATCATCCAGACTTTCAGTATATCAGCATGTGTTAGTTTATCTTCTGCATTCAGTATGTTATGATACCACATGTTGATTCAGCCAGCCAGTTGGTTCGCTCGATCACATGTAGTCAGGCACCAAGTGCCGTGTTACGTCCAGGCCCAGGTTCGGGGCGTGACAAAGCTTGGTATCAGAGCACTAGGTTCAAGTGTCCTAGGGAGTCTATAAAGCCGTGTCTAGTGGAGTTTCCTTTATATGTGTGTGCCGGCCACTCATATAAACGGTTAACTACCATGATATCCAGGATTGTCTCACTTCTGTCTACTCTAGATCGTGCCATGAAGCTTATAGCAAAAGGTAACCTTCTCTTCCTATCGAATTCCAAACGTATTGGATGCCCAAGCGACGCGCAGGAGAAATGTAAGGTCCTAGAGAGGATAATTGCCCATTCAGGTATAATCATGGAGTACAGGTTGGTATATATGAGACTTTAGAGGATGTTAAAAGTGGGATGCAATGGATAGTAGTACAGATTAGAGCATAACTTTATCAGAAAGTACAAAAGCAGTTATCATGTCTTATGATTATCAGTTTTACTCAACTACCAGTTATACAATCTTTTAGTTAGCATGTTTATGGTTATTCAGTATGCC